ATTGTCTTATCTTCCTTATGTGGAAGGGCTGGTGAATTTGAACCACCAACCTTCTGGTTAACAGTCAAATGCCTTAGGTATGCCAAGACAAGTATATATTAAGGCTTAGATCCTCATCCTGACTCTCAAAATAAATTTTTGACTCACTGAGAGTTTTTTCACTGTACTTCTGCTAGTCCTTTGCAAATTTATACCTAGACAGAGACTGAGTTTGTTAAACAAGAAGGCTGATCACAGCTATAAAAGTATTGACTGTAACATTAAGAATGCAGAAATTCAGGCTTTAACTTGTGAAGATAAATTTGTTACCTTAACTGCTGTCAGGCAATTGCCTGAACCCTAACTCACTCCCTTTTAGCTAGATGGGTGGTGTTTATATTTTAAGGGTTTCAGATTAGATGGTTGGTTTTTACATTTCAAAGATTTCAACCACAATCATTAACCCTTGCTAGTCTTCCCTCAGTCTGTTCCTAGGTGCTTTTTACTTGTCTTGCTTAGAAATATTGCCGTTAGTTAAGTTGTATTGGGAGATAAGAAATTAATGTTAGATTAGAAATTGATGTTAGGAAAGTTGTCATTTGGCAACCTCTTGTAAACTTTTCCTTCAGTCTCCTATACTTCCCTTGAATGTGAAACCATTTACCTTTTTTTTTTTTTTGTCTAATAAGTACCTCACTGCTTCCTCTGTAAGGCAGAATACATGTTGCAGTCTTCTGTTGAAAACTTTGTGATTTGCTATTTTGTGAAATTAAATTAGTCCTTCAGTAACATTTTTGTTTTAATTGTCAGTCTAGTGTTTTTACTAAGACAACTTCCAGTCTGGAGACTATATACATAATTGGCAGTTCCCCACCCATGGGCACAATTGTTACTGTCTGTGAGGTGGACAATCCACACCCTGAAAAATGTAATAAATTTTGGGATGACTTGACTCAGTTGAACCAGGCTTCTTTCTCTTCAATGCCTAAGTCATTGCCCATGAATTGGCACCAAAACAAAACACCAAACTCACTGCCACCAAGTCGATTCTGACTCATAGCAACCTCCATTGGGTTTCCAAGGCTGTACATCTTTACAGAAGTAGATTGCCCCATCTTCCTTCTGCGGAGCAGCTAGTAGGTTTGAACCATTGACCTTCTGCTTAGCAGCCAGATGCTTTGGCCACTATACCACCAGAGTACAGATAATACTTATTTCTCAATTACCAATGTTCTTTTGAGGAAAAACCATGAATACAAGACTAGTCCCAGGATCTCTTCTAAGCTTTTCTGGTCTGTGTCTTCTCCTTTCTTTGGGAGCCTATGTGAAGGACAGGGAGAAAATTTACCTAGATCTTTGATTTTCCATGAAAAGCACAAAACACAATGATCATTGTTCTTAAATGAGAAAGAGGTAATGTTGTCACTCGCTCTGTTTTGAAAAAGAGTGAAATAGTGGTGTCCAGTCTCATCTCCTCCTACTGTTGTCTTGACCCTCAGAATTCCCTTGTTATTGTCTTTTTCCATATTAAGTGTTCCAGTTTACTCTTTGATTCCCTAAACTCCCCAACAGTCTTCCAATGAATTCCAGGGAATTTTACTGAAGAGGTGCTTTCTGTTACTTACAACCTAGAAACCCAAACAGAAAAATGTAGTCTTAAATCTCAATGTTGTCCATTATTGCCTGTGTGAGTTTAGGCAACTTATTTAACTTTGGTTAAATCATTTAACTGATATGTTGAGATAATATGAATGAAGCACATAGCACAGGATTTGGCACATAGTAAGTGCTCAATAATTAGTAAGTGCTGTTACACTTAATTTTTCTTGCTTCTGAAGGCAATGGGCATCAGTAATTTTCCCTGCCTGGTGGGATGGAGGGAAGAAGTGCAAGAGTAGTGCAGAAGGTGGGAACCATCTACTCATGGCTTTCTACGTGTGTTTCTGGCTCAGTCTTGGTATAAAGCAGTCTGATGAGCCACACCTTCAGGAATACAGCTGCGAAGTGGTTAGCAGAGCACTAGCTAGCTCCAAGATCAAATGATCCACTCTGGTCACTACTCCAGAGATGGCCCCAATGGTTCCTCCTGTCCTTGTAGGAACACACTACTCCTCACACCAAAATGTGGACCTGACTTTCTCCCCCATTAAATTTGTTATGACTGCGTGGTTGCTTTAACCAATACATGGTAAAATGACATCCTGGGACTTCTGACATTATGCCTTAAGAGAACTTTTTCCCTCTTAGAGCACATGCTCTTGAGATGCTTTCTCAGAATCCAGCTGCCATGCTGTGAGATGCCAAGCTACATGGAGAGACCATCCAGAGGAAAACTGAGGCTTGCTGGTCAATAACTTCAGTTGAGCTCCCAGACAACAGCCAGCATCAACATCTAACTATGTGAATGTGCTATCTTGGACATTCCAGCCCAATAAAGCCTCAAGATGATCATAGCCCCAGCCAAAATTACAGGGATCAAAAGAGTGACCCAGCTGAGCCCAGCCAGAATCATTAAAGATAACAAGATGGTTGGTGCTTTTGGTCATGAAGTTTTGAGGTAGTTTGTTACACAGCAATAGATGAACAAAACATCCTCCCTTGCTAGAGGAATCTGAGAGACTAGAATTCTTTCTCAGAAACCTGCCCCATATTGCCTACTACATGAATGTCTTGTGGAATACCTCAGCTGGCCTTGGGCTGATAAAACCAGGTGATCAAATGCTCACATGACTGATCATGCCCTGACAGGGAAAAATACCATCAAATACTACTGACATAATAGCTGCAGGCTTTGTTTTTGTTTTTCCAATTTTGGATTACCTTTTAAAGAATATTAAGGCCAAGAAAGAGAAAATCTGTTATTAAGGTTTTTTTTTTGCCTTTGAACTTCCCAAAAGATTGAAATGAAGTCAACATGTTTTCATAACAAGAAAAAAAAAAAAAAGTTACCAATATGTTCTCTGTCTCTATTCAGAGCAACACACAATTTAGCTTTACCAGGAGAAAAATAAAAAACAAAAAACTTTTCCAACGATATGAGCTACACCTCAGGCCCCATCATACTGGCCTTTGGTGAAAATGGAGTGAGCAGGCATATTCTTTCTGTTCTGTGCCCAGAATCTCAGCACCTGACACTGTCTACAGGCAGTAGCTTTAAGACTCTAATACAGGGAGCTTGATGTCTTCTGGTTCTGATCCTCACAGTGCACCAGAGAGGCACTATAGCATGGAGCCCTGGTGACGCAGTAGTTAAATAGCTCAGCTGCTAACTGAAAGGTCAGTGATTCAAACTCACCAGCCACTCCATGGAAGAAAAATGTACAGTCTGCTTCTGTAAAGATTATAGCCTTGGAAACCGTACAGGGACGTTCTGATCTGCCCTATAGTATTGCTGTGAGTCAGAATCAAATTGATGGCAATGGGATAAGCTCTGGGTACAAATTTCACCTCTATCACTTATACAAGTAAGTTTCTGTTCTTTAAAACCACCCACTTGTGGTAATTCTATTACAGCAGCACTAGCTAAGATACCCAGAATCAGGAAAAATAATAAAAGATGAGTGCCATTTTAAGCTACTAAGCTCTGGTAGCATAGTGGCTAAAGCACTTGACTGCTAACCAGAAGGCTGGCGGTTCAAACCCACCAGCCACTCCTCGGAAGGAAGGTT